CAATAGTCAAAATACTGAACTAGACATTGGATTCTGGAGCATAAACACTATATATATATATTTTTTTGAAACTGAATGAAACAGGACAAATAAGCTAACAATAAATTTAATATTATACAGATAAAAGTAAACAGTTAAATTACTTACTTTGTTCATCCATGATTTAAACAGTTCTGAAAGAGAAGATCTGATATTAATACATTGTCTACAAATTAATAAGTCAAATATGACTGTTGAAACATGATACTGGAAAACTATTCAGTCACACTCATGGTTTATTCCTCTTTCTACATCTAGTCTAGCCTTATCCAGTCATTTAAATCCTTTGGGCTTAATCCTATTCCCTATGCTGAGTTTCTGAGTAGAACTTTTGAAGTTATTGGTCAGCACATGATGGTGGGCACTTTCTAAAAGCTTTTAGGGAAAGGGTCCATGTTGGGAAAATAGAATAATTTAATCAGGCCCCCCACCTTGGGTCTGGTTGGGGGTGGTGCGGCACATTCTTTGTAAGCAAATTGTGTATGTGTGGGTGGAGTTAGTGTGCATGTGTGGAGCTGCTGCTGGCTGGCATTGACTGCTTTGGGTGTCTACCCCACATAGCCATGCTCTTGAACCTATGGCTTCCAAGGACCTGTTTGCCGGTTACCTAGCTCATAGACCTGTGAGGAGTCTGGTGACCCAGCCTAGTGTGTGAGGGGTCAGGGGACCCAGCCTAGTGTGTGAAGGTTTTGTGACCCAGTCTGTGAACAGGCTTGAGGGGTCTGTGAGCTCCAGACCCAGCCCTAGCTTGACAATTGGCTACATCAGCAGGATTCCGACATTAGCCTAGCACAACAATTGGTATAGTCCGCGACAGGATTCTGAGCAGGTACAGGAGCCAAAAAGCCCTTGGAAGAAGGAGGAAATGTGGCTACTTTTGAATATGCTCTGCCCTATGGCCACTTTCCTGTTGGCTGGGATCTGGTTGCTGCTCACTATACTGCAAGGCAGCACAGACCAGGCACTATGGCAGAAAACCCCTTGTGAGGGGGAGGAAATATGGTTACCCTTGAGTATGTGGTACCTGGTGGCCAATTTTCTGCTGACTGGAGCCTGGTTACTGCTAACTGTGCTGCAAACTGATCGAGATTTGTGGCAGAAAGCAGAGTTGTTGGAAGCAAGAATGATTATCCTGGAGGATGACGTGCAGCGACTGGCCACTCCTGCCCTTCACACCACGGAAGATGACAAACCCAGTGGTGAGCTGGGGGAGACCATGCATCTTCAGGCATGACCTGTT